GTCATGGGCCAGGAGGTGATGTGAAGGTTAGGGTGCTGGACCCCACCCACATGGCCGACTGCACTGTTCACGTCCCGGACCCGGCAGCTTAAAATTAAGCACACTGGGTGTATATGCGTGTGTGCCCAAAATCTTGAGAGGAGGTGGAGGAAAAGGAATCGCAATGTGGCCATTCCCTGGGGGTGATTTTTCTCACTTTCCTTCCCTCTCTGTCTCTCTCCAGTGAGCTCATACTCCTCATAGCACAACTTAAAAAAATAAAAAAGAGGGTAGCTATAAGCTAGATTGAAAGTGCATTCACTGGAAATAGGCGCCGACTACACTTGAAATATACCTAAGTCGTAACCGTAAAAACTCAGCATTACAGTTTTTATACCTATGTCTGACTCAGGCTTCACAATCATTCTCCACTGACTGTCACGTCAATAAAGCCATCTTCCTAACACAGAGGAGTGCCCTCCTTCTTTACCAATCCAGTCCTTTCTTCTTTCCCAGTTCTAGTCTGCAGTAGACACAGATCTCAAACTTGGGAGAAGCGAGTGCGTGCCCCAGTGGCAAGCCAGATCACATTACCACCCCACCAAGAAAACCACTCCTGGTGAGGTTCTGAGCTAACAAGTATCTAGCAAACACTGAGCTTTTCTTTTCATCATTTCTCACCGCCATATTATTAGCAGTGGAGAAAGGGCTCCAAAAAGTAGAGAGCTGGGAGGGTTTTTTTTTTTTTTGTAAGCTACCACCCTGTGAATTCCAATCCCTCATTATATTTTTAATATAACATGTTTAGAAGACCATTTCTGCCATAGATGCTTCACTGGGGTTAAAGAAGACTCTTCTGCAATCGAATTCTGGGATAGCCCAGGTGTCTTCTGCAGTAATTCCGTAATTTCTGAGCATCTTTTGGTCAATATGAGACCTAGAGGATAAACAGACCCAGCATACGCGAGCGCGCATGTGTGTGTGTGGCTCATGGAAAATGCATATTATAAAAAACTATACATAGAGGCCAGCAAGTGGCATGGTGGTTAAGACACTTGACTCCCACATGTCTGGCTGTGTTTTGAGTCCTGAACCTGGCAGCTCACTTTCTCAATTTCTCTTTCTCTTTGGTGAGTGTGCATGACCTATAGCAAATTAAATAGTAGTAATAATAATAATAAATAAATAAAAATTAAATCTAAAAAAACCCTGTAGATTAAAAACATTTTTGCACCAAAATAAACTTAATTCCATTTTTCTTTCTTTTTTCTTAATTACCAGAGGGCATGTGCACTCTCCAGAGAGACAGAGAGAAGGAAAAAGCACCCCCCAATAGGGCATGGCCACATTGCAATCTCTTCTCCATTTCTCCATCCCGTCAGGATTTTTGGCATACACACATATGCAGCTGGTATGTTTATCAAGCCACGGGGGCTAAGATTCAAACCATGGGACCACGTGGGGTTAAGATCCTTTAATAGCTGGCTCTTTCAGTTTCATTTTTCTAGGAACTTTTTGAACTACCCTCATATATAAAAATGTGTGGCCATTTACCTAATGTTCGGCAGCATGAATAGGATAAAAGTCATATATGCCATTGTCCTTGCCTCAAGATCGACCTTGTGGGATTGTGACAATCTGCATTGCACTTTTTGCTCAAAGGTCTGCTGAAGTGAGTAGAAATACGTTCATCCAACAGAAGTCGCAGAAGTGCAGTTTTCAATGCCAAGTCTTTGTTGAGTTTTTCGGGGGAAGCACTTTTTGTTTTTTCTTCGGGGGCTCCTGTAGGAGTATTCTTGTGCATCATTGGCCCTCACTCATCCACCTAGGGCAGGGTCCTGCATGCATGGGTTCGCTATTGCCTTTTTTCTTTTCTTTTCTTATCTCTTTTTTTTTTTTTTTTGAGAGGTTTTCACTATAGGGTGCGTGCGCTTGCCAGACAGAGAGAGAGAGACATAGAGACAGAAAGCGAGAAATCACCCCCCAGGGGAGATGGTCACGCCGCAGTCCCTTCTCCTCCATTCTCCTCTTGGGATCTTGGGCACGCCCGCACACGCGCCCGGCGTGAGTTTTAAGCCACCGCGTCCGGGTCGCGAACCGTGGTCGTCTACATGGGAGTCCAGCGACATAGCCATTACGCTAACTGCTGGTTCCCCCGCTATTGCCTTTTGCTGCTGTAGTTTTTCAGCCCAGGGCTCAGTGAGGAGTCACATGTAGACCTGCCTGTAGAGATCAGCTCCTATAGATTCGTTAAGAACAAGTGGGTTGGACAGGGTTGATCACAGCGTTGTGATCATCACTCCACTAATAAAATCTCAGTACAGATTATCATGAAGCTGAGAGAGTTGGTTGGTTTTGTTTTGTTTTATCATGGTTTCTACGTTTTTTCAGCATAGATTCAGAGAAGCTGAGGGAAAAAGAATCAATCATTTTTGGATGATTCAGATGCACCATGCTGGACAGCTCCCAGCCTCTGTAATTTCAGTCTGGGTTCCAGAAAGGCCTGAACAGGAGTGATAAAATATTCGCTTCTCATTCCCACCAAGTGAGTGTCTGGAGAGTTCGTGGAATCTGGGAGCTTGTGTGTCCTGTGTCTGGGAAGCAGCTGCTTTTGGCTGTGCTAGGAAAGGTGTGAAGAGTGGGCAGACAGGCTCCGGTGCAAGACAGTGGCCGTCACTCACAAGAGGAGCGGGGAAGCCTCTCATCTTTTTTCTTTTTTTAAAGCTTTTGCTGTAGGGCATATGTGCTCACCAGAGAGAGACAGAGAAAGAGGGGAAGTGAGAAAGTACTCCCCGGAGAGGATGGACTCATTGCAATCCCTTCTTCTCCACTCTCATCTCAGGATCTTGGCCACACACACATGCACCCAACATGACTTAGACACTGCTGGGTCCAGGACTGGCACCTTGGAGTTGTACCTGTGGGACCCAGCACCTTAACCTCTGTGCCTCCTACTGGCCCAAAAGTGTCTCTCTCTCTCTCTCTTTTTGCCATAGGGGTGCATGTACTCACTGGAGAGAGAGAGACAGAGAGAGAGAAACAGAAACCGGGAAGTCACTCCCTGGGGGGATGGCTATGCTGTAATCCATTCTCCTTCATTCTCCTCTTGGGATTTTGGGCATGTGTGCACATGCACCTGGCGTGATTTTCAAGCCACCGGGTCCAGGACTCAAACTGCAGTCAGCCTTGTGGGAGTCCAAAGACATAACCACTATGCCATCTTCTGGCCCCATGTGTCTCATTTTAAAAAGACTAGTCTGGGGGCTGACAGGTGGCATGGTGGTTAGGGGCACTGAACTCCCATATGACCAGTTCCGATTCAAGTCCTGGACTTGGCAGCTTGCTTTCTTGCTCTCTCTCTCTCTCTGTCCTTCTTTGGTAAAATTAATGAAAAATAAATGAAGTTAAATAAAATAAAAGTCCGCTTTTCTGCTTGTGTGCCTTTCCCAAATGCGGACATGGTGCCTGCTTGCTGCCGTCACCTTGCTGGGAGAATAGAGGAGGATCTCCATGCTGTAGGATCACATGTGGCAAGCAGGTCTTAGCTGCATTTTAAGTGGGACATGGCGACCATATTGTGACTCTGAAGATGGCAATTAGAATGGGGACGGAGGAAGAAACAGTGTCAAGTCCTCATGACCCACGGGCAGGATGGCTTGAGTGGCCAAGAGCATGGGCCTTAGAGTTGGATGGATGGAGCTAGTCATGGCTCTGCTTTCTAATTGTGTGGACCCAACTGAGTCATCTAACTGTTTTCTCATCTGTAAAATGGGACTACCTCGTGAGGTATCCTGCAATTCTGTAAGTTAGTGCATGGACGCCCTTAGCTCTATGCCTGCGCTCATGTCCCTATGTTATAATAATGCTAGTTCTTCTATGAGGAATATAGAAGGCACTGAGGTTGTCTAGTCTAAAGACACTAGAGAAAGACCTGCCCGGTGGTTTCATGTATTTAAAGGATTGCTGTATGGCAGAGGGAAGAAACTTATTTTTAGTGCTAAGACAATGTGGCTTCAAACATGGCCTTTGCAGGAGGGCAGATTTCAGATTAGTGAGAGTGTTTGTGACAGAGATGCTCAAGAGCATCCAGACTCGTCAGAGATGGGACTCCCTGTCATTAGACTCCACCAATAGAGGCTGGGTGGCCTCAGCACTCAGGACCGTGAGAGGGTAACACCTGCTCTCCTCAGAACAGGTGAGAGGCTGCTTGGACCAGATGCCTCACTTCTCTCCCATCTCTGTGATGTCAGGGAATTTATCAGTGGGCTCAGCCTTTTGTCTCCTGAGAGAGACTCATGAAACCAGCAACTGCCTGGAATGAAACAAGAAGAAAATTCCAAGGACTTCTTTGGGTACAAAATAACAAGATCATTTGCTGGAGATGATGATTCTCAGTTTTTTTCATTGTACAAGGGGTCTTCAAAAAGTTCAAAAAGTTCATGGGGAAATATGAATTATGATAAAACTGCATGGATTTCCAAGTGGTTTTGCACCGAAATGGCTTATTTTGATATTTCATTTCTATTTTTTTCTTGAATTTTTTGAAGTTCCTTGATACTAGTTTGCTAGGCTTGCCACAACAAAGAGCCACAGACTGGGTGGCTTAAATAACAGGAACTTATTTTCTCATCGTTCTGGAGGGTGGAAGTCCGAGATGAAGGTGTTGGCAGAATTGGTGTCATTCCAAACTCCTGTGGCTTGTAGATGGCTGTCGTCTCACTGTGACCTCACGTGGTCTTTGCTGACGTTCTCATGTCTGTGTCCTACCTTTTCATTGCATTCAGGCCCACTCCCATGACCTCATTTTAACCTTCATTACCTCTTTAAAGACTGTCTCTTGAGGTGCTTGGGGTTAGGACCTTAACGGGTGGATTTTGGAGAGGGGGAGCAGAATTCACCCATAACTCTCCTATACAAGGGGTTTATTCTTTGAGTCGTTGGGATTGTTGACCATGACAAGCCTCTGGGGTTTTGCCGATGTGTTGTTTTAACTGTGTTCTGTCTCAATTCCCTTCTCTTAGGTGAACGGCCCTTCCCCTGCACATGGCCAGACTGCCTTAAAAAGTTCTCCCGCTCAGATGAGCTGACCCGCCACTACCGGACCCACACAGGGGAGAAGCAGTTCCGCTGCCCGCTCTGTGAGAAGCGCTTCATGAGGAGCGACCACCTCACAAAGCACGCCCGGCGGCACACCGAGTTCCACCCCAGTATGATCAAGCGATCGAAAAAGGCGCTGGCCAACCCTTTGTGAGGTGCTACCCACGGAAGCCAGGGAGCGATGGACCCCGAAAGGACAAAACTACTCCCAGGAAACAGACAGACACACATGGAAACAAGCCCCAGAAGAGGCACCCTGACAGCACAGGAAGTCACTGCTCTTTGGTCAATATTCTGATTTTCCTTTCCCTGCATTGTTTTTTAAAAAAGCACATTGTAGCCTAAGATCAAAGTCCACTCTTGGTCCCCTTGCAGAGGCAACTCTCTGAATCCCGTCTCTGACTGTTGGAGGGAAGGCAAATGCTTTTGGGTTTTTTGTTTTATTGTTTTTATTTTTTTCCCCCCTCTCCTTTATTTTTTGTGGGGGTGGGGGGTGGGAGGTGGGGGCAAAGACCAAGACTGGGGTAGAATTTTAAAGATTCAACACTGGTGTACATACGTCTGACTGGGTGAGTTGACCTGTGGTATCACACAGTGACTCTGGGCCCTTTATGCTTGCTGTCTCTCAGAATTGTTTTCTTACCTTTTAATGTAATGACGAGTGTGCTTCAGTTTGTTTAGCAAAACCACTCTCTTGAATCACGTTAACTTTTGAGATTTAAAAAAAAAAAAAAAAAAACCCCCCCAAAAACCCCCCAAAAAAAAAAAAAAAAAGAAGTGCAGACAAAAGCTTTCTAGTCTCAGAGGAACACGTGCCAGGCAGAAAACAGCAGATCAGAAAGACACCCCTCCTGGCTGCTTCAGAGCG